AAAATGAAAGAAGGGAACTTGAAAAACCTTTCTGACTGAAAGAAATTAAGGAAAAACGAAACATTGAAACGAAGTCGGAAAAACAGACTAAGGCATTCAAAAGTTAAAATGGAAAAGAAACAAATAATACCAAGCAAACTTTTATGAAAGTGGTTTCATTTGAATGACAATACAAATTTACAACCTAGAGTGAAAAAATTATCTTACCAGACCTCGAGGTTATTATACAGAAAGGTCTTTGGTTTCCCAATACGAAACGCAGCTATCTCCCCATTTCCTATTTATAAAAGAGATTACAATTCATACTGTCCTAAATAGCAGCAAACTTCGATTTTAACAATGAACAATTCGTTAGTTCTACTATTACAAACGATAAGTTATTTTCATAAAGTACACAATAACCTTACTAATGTACGGAACACTTATACAGTGAGTTGAATTTCAAACGATAGCCTGTTTTCAAAAGGTACCTGGTATCTAATGTAATGATATAATGAATAATATATGCATGGTTTGTACAAGTTAAATAATATCTGTTGAAGTCAATGACATGAACAACTTATATTTTCTACTGACAACAAATTATATTTCCGTTTTTTTTTTTCTGAAGCTATTGAGTAAAATTACCCACCATTTGAAAGGAGTGGTATGGACAACGTAAGGAAAAGTTTTTTTTAAGAACGATTTTCGCAAAAATACCACCCAGTAATTTTTTTAAATTATTTTTTGAATCTACTTTCAAAAGGCACCTGGTAACCCTGAATACTACACAAATAATTTATGCATGGCTTGTACAAATATAGTACTTTTAGAGTAAGTAATCACTTTGTTTTTTTAATCAATGACATAAATAACTTATGTCTTCTAGAGACTACAAATTGTATTATATTAGTTTCAAATTATATTTTTCTTCTTGAAGCTCATTAACACGTGTAGAATTACCCACCAATTAACACGTTGGTAAAGAACCATTAAATTTGCTTTTTCTTCTATGAAAAAGAGTTTCTCAAAAATTGTGCCCAGCTCTTTTTTTAATCAATATACTATTATCAGAAGCCGATTTTAGCAACTTCCTCCCAAGATTTAAAAATACGCAAGGCCAATCATTTTATATACGATCACTCACGCTTGAAAATATTGTTATTCCTTGTTTTATTATTTCCCAAAATAATTCAATAACAATGTTTGTGGAAAAGGCTTTTTTGGCACCCGCCAGGAAGTATCCTAGGTTTATGGACCTCTCAAAGGTATTTTTCTGGCTGAATGGACCTTCGAGTATGTTTGTGTATCGTATGTAAAATTTTAGAAACTTGCATCTTGACTTTCCTCAAGAAATATTTAACTCTATTCAGTGTTTCATCCAATATTCAAACTCTTCGGAGTCGGTTTTAAAAGGGTCAGTATGTTGAACTCGTTCGTTGCGAATAAGTAAGTGTATCGCAATTTGCCTTCAACCTTAACTAGTGTCTATGTAGGTCGCAGACAGATTAGGACCAATGAGAACTAGGCTTCTGAATATAGGCACACCAATTATGGTGTCATCACCACTGGAATGACCAAACACGACAAACATCAATATACTCGTAGCCTGTGTACAGCCTTACTGAAATTAGACTCCCCCAAGAGACCCCCTCCAAAGCAGTCGAAGGTGGACTTAACTCACAGACCGCACCTTAAACATACAGACTAGTTACAAAATCTAAGAGGTACGTAAGGTCTTTAAAAATATTAACTATAAAAATTTATTTATAAATACAATTTTTTTAGAATTTTTAGTGCTAGTTCTTTTCATCTTAAACACTTCATTTAGACACGATGACATGTTTGACTGCCTCTGTAAACAAAAAAATGGACGTTAGTCTAAGTAAACACTTGGCACAAATTATACCAGGCACGCTACTTCTATGACCGATTGCGGAGAAAGATGAAATAACATCAATGCTGTTTGTGCTTCTGGCCCACGTTTCATTTATTGACCATATAGTTGGCTAATGTGATTTGAAGTTCTTTCTGCTTTGGCAAATGCATTTCGTCCTTGACAAGGATCAGCACCTTCAACCGATTACATTGTGTTTGTTCTAAAGACCCCGTCGACACAAATGCGTTTTCGCTTAACATCGCGTCCATTTCATAACAATTAATTGGTCTAGCGTCAGAATTGGGACAATAGAACGTTTTCACGCACGTGACCAGCACCTATGCAAATTTATTAGGACAAAACAAAGCGTTTACATAAGAAAAGAGTTCAAATCCCACAGTATTTGTTTGGAACACCGACATGGCCGCCATTTCATTGTTTTGGAACACCAATATGGCCGCCGTGACGTCATGTGAAAGCGCTTTATAAAAACGTAGGTTTTCGAAAACAGAGGTCTAAGGGTATGTTTGGTGCAGTGAGAAAACCTATTGGGACCGTCGCAAAAGTAAATAAGCAGGATCAAGCCCTAGAACACGCAAAGACGGAAGTAGGTATTCAGGAGTGAGGAGGACTGGAATTTAGTGCACCAAACCCTCACGGCCAACCACTCCGTCACGGTGTTTGATGTGTGTGAACGACTTTTGTCCCCCCGGGCGGTTTCTGTTCACACTATACAGGCGAATCTTTGTTTACACTTTTTGCCTCATTGACATAAGCTTATCGCTATTTAATGACGCTAATACAATAAAAACTCTGAATATGGAAAGAGCATAACAGTTTGAGTTATCTCTGTACATTTGAGCCCAATACACCGAATGGCTTCGGAGAAATTCTCTTCTAAATACTCGAAATTTTACAGAAAATGTATGGCTCATTAACTTTTTTGCCACACAGCAATTTCGCAGTTTTTGATGGCTGATATTTCCTTCAAAAATTGCTCAACTTAATCAGCTCTTTCAGTTTTTGCATTTAGTTCATATACAGCTATTTCCAGAAAGGTTGTCGGAAAAAGTGCACGCGACAATCTCGAAAGGTACTGTGGGTAGTTTTGAGTTCACTGTTCTTCAATGAAATTTGAAAGAATGGCACGAGAGGCCATGGACGTATGTTTGCGAGTGCTAAAGGAAAGCAACAAGAGTAGGTTTGAAAGCTACTGTCGTCAGGAACAGTGAATTGATCGTATCCCATATTACCTTTCGGGATTGTCGCATTCACTTTTTTTTCCGACAACCTTTCTCGAAGTAGCTGTATACGGCCACGGCTTCTATGAGTTAAGTCGTATGCTAATGAGGAAAAATGTAAACAATGACGTCAGCAAAGATTCGCCTATTGGATAGCTGGTCGTAACGACACGAAAAGCTATCCATTGTATGTAATGTGAACATAGCCTAAGAAAACGAAGATTCTCGAGAATAATCTTGAACCCGGAGTCTTTCGAAACAGACGCCTGTATTATTAATAGTGGACAGACAAAACGAAGGTTTTCCAAAAAAGGCTACGCCAGAACTAGCCATGCTCGACCTGACTTTGCGCATAACCAAGCAGAAAGACGAGAAATTGATAACAACACGTCTGAGCATAGCCCAATAATAAAAACATGATACCAGATATGCTTTTTTGATGACTTACTGTGAATGTTGAAAACGATGTGAAAATGTTAAGTTTGAAAAAGGACTTTTGATATGCTTTTGTTAAACCCGGCTTTCAAAAGAGCGGACAGTACACAATAAAAGTGTCCAGTGGTAAAGTTAAGGTGTCCGTTAGTTCATAGACCCCACAACCCCCCTTGGTTCGAAGACAAACGTTTTAGCTTACCCGCTTTTATATGGCAGACACACCTAAGAGGGAGCCTCGTCTGGGAGATCCTCGTTCCCTGGTGGTTCTAATACGAGGTAAGAAACAATAACAAAATAAAGACACAGAAATATCCTCTCCTCTTTTGGCGCTTTTCAGGGATAATGAAACAAATAATTCAAATAGAAACCCAATATAAAAAGGTTGAGATTCCCGAGTCATGGGCGGCAAACCAGTCAGCTATTTTACAAGCGTGGTCGAGCGTTTGAACTCGGGACTATAGAAAACAAATCAAGTTAGCGGTGACGGCGGGACTATCCAGCTAGAAGAGATTTATTTCCGGCATGTTTTCTTTTTTTTGCATTTATCATTTTTTAAGAAGTCGTTCGCGTAGTTGGCCAGTTTATAGGGCATGAGTTAACTTTCTCAAGTAAAAAGGGGCTTTTCTTGTTAATAAAAAGAGTCTTAAAACAGCTTACCAAGCTGATTATTAGTGTTGATTGTTACGCCTTCTGCTGTAGCTTCCTTTAAAAAAACAAAAAAACATAAACAAACAATATTAGTGCACTGTTAGAATGTTGCATCTCTTGACCACAAATACTTTTGGGAGTTGTTGGCCAACAATGTTGCGTCCGTTTCTTAGCTCGGGGCTTTACCATTTAATCTGAAAATTGTTCGACCGACGTTAGCAAGAATGTTGATAGACAACCGCTTTTCAAGGTTAGAAAAATTCAGAAATTTAAATGCAAACATTGCTCCCTTAAAGTTAAGGCGCGCTAATGCTCGACAAGTTTACTTTATTTACCCACTTCCTCGTCGGCTAAAACTTGGAAAGTCTTTACAAATATGCTGTATCAATATTTTTCCCGGTGCTTAAGCTGGCATTTTAAGCGATACAAATCCGCATTAATTTTTGGGAAGCATCTGTTTTGCAAAACAAGAACTGATTACGCGTACCAAACGTCATATACAACACTTTGCGACTGGTAAGAATTTCGCTTTTAATCAGCGTCATGAACAAAGAAAGTTGCTTTTCTTCTCGGGAAAGTTCTTTTATAAAAGAAATAGAAAACTTTCCTTACTGGGTTTGCATAGCCTGATATAAACACTCGAGAGGTTGGGAGAATTCTCGATAGTTATGCAAATCCAAGACGACTCGCATTCCCCCAACCCTCTCGGATTATATCAGGCTATGCAATTTTCTATTGCTTAAATAGCTCTCTAGCCACAGTGGTGCTGTTCGTGCGCGCCACTCGGCTTTGCTTAAGAACCGGATAGCAACACAAACCTGGGACGAGAAGTCTACTGCAGATCCAGGCAGTTGTAGGTAATCACTAGAGCTACCACTTGTTTGGTTATCTACTATGGTTCTAATGCCAGAAGCATTTCGAGAAACCAACTGGCCAATAACCATTTTTAGATGCCTGATCGTCTAACGAAAGGAAAGAAAAACAAAACAACTGCTAAGTAGCTGAAGTGGAGATAAACTAACAATAAGTTTACCGTCAGACAATATGAGAGGTGACTGGCATATTTAAGAATTAATGAATGAGGCTGAGTATCTTATGAAGAATTATGAAGATCCAGGAGGGTGGTATACGTCGAGGCCGTAGGCCAAGGCGGATAACACCCTCCGAGATCTCCATAATTCTTCATCTGATACGCAAGCCGAATTCAATAACTGTTTTATCATTCATTAAAAATACTTCCTAGTTTAAAAACATAGCTAAAACATGCTTACCTCCATGGATGTTAAGTTTATCTTCCATAGTGCACGTTAAGGGTTGTTCAGCTCCGCAAATATACTTCAAATAGCAGAAGTCGCCCTTCGAGTTGTCTTCTTGCTGTTCTTCCCATGGTTTTAGCTATTATTTCGCCTAGTTCTTACTCTTGAAACGAGTGAAATGTCCGCCATTTTGTTTTCACAAATAAAACAACTCAACTTCGTCCCAAGGTCTTCTCGGTTAAGGGTGCATTAACCTGCACGAAGGCTGCACTTTTGACGTCATCGGTTCATTAAACGCTAAATTCTACCAAATTTGGTCATCAGTAGCTGGTTATGGTGAATTATGCGTGTGCTTTGAGCCAATCAGAATCGGGTAAATATTTTGAATGAATAAAAGCGAGGCAAGAGGCTAGAGATTTATGGCTTTGTCATGCACAGAACAAGGTGTTATTGGATTATTAAGAGGAAACCAAATTTCCATGTTTTAATACTAGGGAGTGGGTCATGTAATTTCCAAACTTGCTTTAGGGGTGGGTCAGTCATTTTTGTGCCGAAGGGAAGGGGTGGGCCATGTGTTTTTTTAATTTTATCAATCACATTTCCAAATGCTACGCCCGCCATAAGTTATATTGCCTCATTACCTCTTTCTGTTCTTCACACTCGTTAAATTTCAAACGTAGCCCCTGTAATTTAAAACATAGTTAATCAGTTACTGATATTTGTAGATACAAATATTGTAGCTCGAGTGAGGCCCTTAAAAGCTGTAGATATGTAGTTGATTGTTAAAATCCGAGCTTTCGCCGATCAACAGTGGTCGTACTGCTGTTGACGTTACTACAGTCCAAAACTTTAACTCCCGACCCTCCCCATGACTTTTTCCAAACTTAACAGCCAAATCTGATTTTTTTCATAAAAAAAGACAACATACAACAGCTTTCATAAAGCAAACATTAAAAGCCCAGGTCTTTAGATTGTGTGCTCGGCGCAAAGAGCTATAAGCAGGAAAAAACAATAAAGTTTCCTCCCCACCCCCCTTCCCCCGCTTCGCCTCGCGTTCTCTCTTTAGCTTCAATAACAATACGACAGATTTCCACATTTCTTTCCGACTACATTGGCATTAGGTCGAACTTTAGCGCTACCCAAAGACAACAATCTAAGTGCTAAGATACATAAAGTAGGTCGAGTCCGGGTGACCGAAGCTCTTAATAGGAGTCAAAGTCGGAGTGGTATCTCGTCAGGTGATTGTATTTTAACTCTGCTTATTGACCAAGCGTGTGTAAGTGCTGTTAAAGTCCACGTGATCGGAAGTTAATACCATATTTTAATAAAAAATACCGAACGATTTAAGAAGTAAAATGTAATTACCGCTTCAGCCATTCGAATCGTCTCCATGTTTGCAGCTATTTCTGCTAATCTTTCAGTCGCGCACTCTTTTAACTAAAGAAAGAAGCAAGAGCTGAGTATTTCAAGTTCTTGTAAAATGTGCAAAGCGATAAATCAGCCATAAATTATTTCAGGGAAAGAAAAACAGGCAGGGCTGAGTGGGAAGGGAGCAGAATTGTTCAGAATTGTACTTTGAAGTTGGGCATGCACGTGGACAATATGCTGAAAAGTTAACTCCTTAAGAGCACCTTAGGTAAAAACTCCCTCAATATTACCCGCCAACAGGCTGCTTCTTATTATTGCATGCTTTAATTGGCGTGGGAACTAATTTTTGGCATGAAGAGGTTGAAACCTTATCAAGCGGATAATACCTCATTATTTTCCTGTTCTAGGGCACCTTTTTGCTCAAGTAGCTGGGCGTTTTCAGTCCTAATTGTCTGAAAAATAAATGGAAGAAAAAAGAGTAAGAAGCGCACTAAGTTTTGTTTAAAAACCGTCGTTATTTCCGGTTACCTAGCAAACAATCTCACTTCTTTGTCTCTTTTGGTGGTGTGGGGTGGGGGTGGGAGGTATTTTTTGGGTAATTATTTTTTACTCTTCCGGCCCTGGTTGTTCAAACGTTGTATAGCCAGTACATCCACAGAATAAAACGCTATCCAACAGATAAGTGTTAGGGAAACCCACTGCGTTCTCTAGTAGATAGAGATTTCATCCAGTGGATAGCGTTATCCATCATTTGAACAAGTAGAGGCTGGAGTAACAAACAGGGCCCAGTTGCTCGAAGTATGGTTAGAGTTAACCAGCGTTTAATACCTTGACAACGTATTGGTTTTGATACTGCTTAACCAATGGTTAAAGCTAACCATGCTTTGAGCAACTCAGCCCAGGTCTATAAACAAACAAAGTGTTAAGACTGTTCCAGAAATTCCGATATTGTGGAACACCTCAACTAAATCACTTTAGCACACATAAACTTCATTTCCTCTGAGATCATCTGTGGGCCACAAATTTAGCAGTGATCTAACTACTCCAAGCACGATAATACTACACATGGTTAGTACAACTTCAGAGAAACAAAATTCAAGGCCTTTCCAAGGACATTTCAAGAACAAATCCCAGTTTTCAAGAACTAAGATAAATTCACTAAATCGGCATTCTTTTGACCCCTTTTGATTGGCTAAAACACTCAATGGAGTCAATTACGATTTTTACTTCTTCAGCAATGGTTGATAACATAATTTTATACTACTTTTCGTAACACGACTTTTAAACTTCTTGTTTAGCACAGAGAGGTCAAAAACCATAGCGTGTACAGTGGCACATACCCGTATAGGCCATATAAGGGAGTGCCTCCCCCGCAGCTTTGTGTCAAGGTTAACCGGCATTGCCATTTTAGTGACCTCATTATTTGCAGGCCTGGTTTAGACCTTCTCATTTATCAAAACAATGCAGAGCTTAAATCTCACCTCTGCCTGATTGTTAAGACACAGGATTTCTTCAGACTGTTTTTGGAGGACTTGTGTGAGTGTTCTGTTTACCTAGTAACACGTACAATACATTAAGGAATATCAAAAGTCGATCATTATAAATTGTATTATCAATAGAAGAAGTAAAGACAACTAAACACCATGCATAGTGTAGTTAGTATAGAACATCTTGACAAAGTGACTGTAAAATAAGACAATAAAAAATAACTAGCTGCATCCTTGGAAAAAATCACTGCGACCACTTATAAAGGTTATAAAGGTTAAAGGTTTGTTTACAGTAGAAAGTGTGCTTGGCTTCTCCAGCTAGTTAATACAGGCAGCCCACTCAAATAACTAGAAACAAAATTCAAATAATAACATAACAGGATTAAAACCTTAAATGAAAGGAGGCAACCAGTTGGCTATTTACAATAGTGTTGCTGAGGATCTGAACTCAGGACAACCAAGAAAAATTTCAGCAAATGTGGCCAATTAAAATGGGACTCAAGCACGGGTCTGCAAGATTGCAAGTCCAAAACCCTGACTACTCAGTCACGAATCCTTGTAAATAGACGTTACCGCTTAAAACATGTACAGGTCAGTCTTACAGCAACATTCAGGGAGTGATTCATGTCTTGAAGCAAAGATATTTTCTTTATGCACTAATATACATATTTATAAGGCCCTGTTTTTTGTCACGAGTTTGGCGCTTGCAAAAAATTTTACAATTTGTAGTTACCAACTTTTCGTTTTTGTCAAGGAACTATAATTGGCAGCATAAGTATACAAAGAAGGATATTTGTCAAGAAACAAAGGATTTTGTCTCCTGACAAAAAAATTGTCGGCCCCCAAAACTTCTCAATGGCATCTTTGAAGTTTAGTGATGCTTGAGAAATTTTGGTGGGTGTAAAAAATCATTTGTACTAGAAATGGCTCCCTGTTAACACATTTTGTTGTAACACAAACAAAATTTTCTGTCATGCGAACAGGGCCTCATGTTAGCTAGATAATTTGCCTAATAACACAAGAGGATAGACTTGCTCTCCGCTGAAATATATCTTTTGTGCTCTCCAAACTTCCTGCATTCTTCAAATCTCAACATACATGTATGCACAACTGAACAAAACCCATTTTAACCTGGAAACAACATTTACCTCCACCAAGTGTGTCTCATTTAAACGTAAGGTCTTGTTTTCCTGAAAAAAAAAATACAGTCCATTAAAATAATATTCATTACATATTTTTAATACATTAAGAAATACATTTATAAAAATTAATGTCTGAAACAAAAAAAGATTAAACATTGGCCTTAATTCAAGAATAATGGGGTACACTGAACCTACATGTGTCAGAATTTTTACTAAAAAATCCTTCTAAACGGGCCATTTCTAAATTCCCACAACCATCACTTTTTGAAATATTATAAATTCAGCTAATAACTAATCGTCAATTTTCAAAAGTTCATGTGAAAGGAAACTGAAAAAGAATTCAAAGACTTCACACTTGGTCAATACTCCTTATTGAAGACCAAGGTGGATCACTACCACACCAGAAGCTACCCTATCCAACCTAGAGATGAGCTCTAAACACTTGTGGAAAAATCAGGGCAAGAAGGAAGTTGATGTATCTTTAAATATTACCACTAAAAACTTCTCCTTCTTAATTACTATGAATTGAGTACTATAATGATGAATTGAAGATCTTCAATGATAAAAACCTTTTTCAGTTTTTGCATTAGGCCATCATTTTTTATCATGTCATCATTTTCTTCTGGACTAGAAGGCCGAGGAGGTAACTGCATGGTGGTACCTGACTGTGAAGTTACCATAGTATCTTGGCCAGTCACAAAATTATTTTCCTGACCACTATCACTGCTGTCGTCTTTAGAAGATGCTTTTCTAGCCTTACCAACTCTGCGACTGGGAGGAGACAAGTACTTAGCTTCAGAAGGTTGACGGCTTGGACTGTTTTGATAAAAGAAAAAAGTAAGGACCATATATTTTTCTTCAGCTATAACTTTGTGTGACTCTTTGTAATCAAACATAATTATGCCAGTAAAATGTTAAGGTAATAATAGTTTTAAAATGTACCTATCATGTAGTATTGGCTCTTGGTTACTGTAAAAGGGTAGAGAGGGCTGAGTGAGAAATTCTGAATTGTTTGGATTCAAAGGCAGTTGTTCTGAAGACTGGCTTCTTAAATTGCCTTCCAACACTGCATCATGATTACAGGACATTGTCCCCACTGTTGTTGAAGCTTCTTGTACACTTGATTTGTTGTCTTCAGGACTTTGAGGCAGCTCACTGGGACGTTTCTTTGGTTTTGCTCCAGGATGCTTAGCCTGATGTTTTTCCTCAGAAGTAACTGCCCCACAGGTCACTACAAACAAAGGAAATATGCCAGTTTCTTTCCAGAGCAATCAGAGCTTTCAGTTGATGGGATCAAAATACAATGCTTGTTATTACGGTAAGGTCTGTAAGTTTAACTGTAGGCCTGGCTGCATGTCAGAAACTTGTCCGGTCACAGAACTGCTGCTATAAGAGTGCTAATAACGATGAACTAATCATTTTGAATTATGTAAGAAAACTATGACTCATTCCCTAGTAAATCTCAAAATACATGTCTCCAATGTTTCAACGCTTACCGTATTTATTCGAATAAGCGCCCAACCTCGAATTAGTGCCCACCTCGAATGAGTGCCCATCCTAAAGGCAGAAAAAGTTAATAAGCACCCACCCCTACCCCACCCACTTGGGTGACAATGAGATTGAAATTGAAATTGATTACGTACTGATAAGAGACTTCCCTGAAGACGGAGTTTTCTTCAGAGTAGTTTACAGAAACCTTGCTTTGTTACATGGATATCTTTGTGTTTTTTTATTACCATTTATTGTTTTGTTGCAAAATAAACATACTACACTGCTGAAAATGGTGAGAATTTAAGTTGAAAAGTGAAAAAGTATAAGGTGTAAACCGAATATGATATCAAATTTTGAAACAATACATAAAATATTTGCAGGTCCAATGGTTATAATTCCCAAGGTAAGAAACACAATAAGAGAAAAAAAAAAGAAATGTACGAAAGTGTCACTTAAATAGTTTGGGGCGAATGGAGTCGGCTTGCATGTTAAGAGAAGGCTTGATGTCCTGAGTGTCAACAAAAACAAGCCTCCGATCGTCAACACTCAATGCGTTGTATACTTATTTCAATGTGATTTGTGCAATGCAAATTATAATGTCGGGTACACTGCCCGACACTTACATCACCGCATAAGTGAACACCGTTATTCAGCCATCGGGAAACACCTTGACACACAGCATGGCAACAACAGAACAAAGACTGACCACTGTTTCAAAGTTCTGAGGAAATGTAACAACAAGTTTGATTGCTTAGTCTACGAGATGTTATACATGAAGGACATCAAGCCTTCTCTTAACATGCAAGCCCACTCCATTTGCGCCAAACTATTTACGTGACACTTTCGTACATTTTTTTTCTCTTATTGTGTTTCTTACCACGGAAATTATACCAATTGGACCCGCAAATATTTTATGTATTGTTTCAAAATTTTATATAAATTATTCGTTTTACACCTTATACTTTTTCACTTTTCAACTTGATAATGGCGTAACGTAGCGCCGAAACGTCGTTCACTTTTTTAAATGTTTTTTAAATGTATTTTAAAAATCTTTTAGCGTTTAACTTTTTGATCAAATGATTTGATATTCTTCAAGAAATGTTGCATGGCTATGAAATGAAAGCTGCTGCCATACAGTAAAGTGTTACATTATTCTTCTCTACATAGCAAATTGTTCGATTCTAACTGAGTGTATAATATCCTTTTTATTAAGCTAAGGAAAAGCCATCAATTTTTCACAGCTTAACCCTTTAGATAATTATGTACACTGTAGTTACTTCCACACATACCTTTAGGTTTAGATGTTTCTCTACCGTTTGTAGGTTGAGTATCACCACCTTGCTTCAGCAGCTTTTGCTGTGTATTGTGCAATGGTTCATGTAGTCCTCCCTCTTCCAAGTCTGAGACCGGGTCAATATTTAAAGTTTGTTGTGCCCATATCTTTTCTCCATCAGGACTTTGTGATGGTTTACTGGGGCGTATTTTTGGTATTGCTCCAGGAGGTAACTTAGCCTGATGTCTTTCCCTCGAAGCAATCACACCAGAGGCCACTAAAAATGACAAAAAGGGTCAGTCAATGCAATATGCTCAGCCCAAAGAAAAATACTGTTGCACCTCCTGTAATCAGTGACCACCCAAAATGCTAAGGTTTTAAGTGGTTGCTTACATGATGCATCACGATCAGGTACGAGAATTGACCCACAGGGGGTCTCTTCTGAGAAGAGATCCCAACACATAACATCCTTTTTTTGGAAGATAATTTACTGCATCATGCAGTTACTTAAGTATCAGCAGTTTCTAGTTGTCACTGAAAGTTGTTTGTATATTACCCTGAATAGCATTATGGTACATACAGTAAACATATACCTGCCAACTCTCACGCCTTAGGCGTGAGTCTCACGCCTGCGGGTTGAAAACTTCGATCTCACGCCGGCTCACGCCTGCGGGCCAATTTCTCACGCCTGATTGAAAAATGTGAGTTGTTGCCGTCCTGCTTGTCACAATTTCCAAAAATATGTTAACTCAGACCAATGTAAGGAACGAAAACCATGTGTAAAATGAATAAATTGCAATACCTTCCTCGCGATCTCTGATTTTTGAAGTGAAAAGCACTGGGAGCGAGCTCGCCTTTGGCAGACCTCGGCAGACTTCGGACGTCTTCGGAAGACTTCGGACTTCCTCGGGAATCTTCGGAAATGATCGTGTCGTCTTCAAAAATCCCAGCACTCCCAGGATAAAAATCTCACGCTTATATCTCAGAAAAAGTTGGCAGGTATATAAACAAGGAGTCGAGATATATTACAACATGAGTCAAATGGTCATTAAAAAATAGTATAATAAATGTTACAGGTCAAAATTAAATTCAGTTTAAAAATTTTTAATCTACAGTAGGATTATTCTCAATTTCCCTTGTATCCTAAATAGTATTTATTCATGAATTACATATAGGGTTAGGAGACGAAGGAAATTGAGAATCGACGTAAGTTAAAAATTTTTAACCTGAATACAGTTTTGTCCTGTAACCTGGGAAAATTTATAGTGTTTTGAATGGGTGGTCACTTACATATCCGCTGCTTATGATAGGTGGTTATTGTAAATAAAAAATACATAAAGCCACACAATGCCCAGGCACTCAATAGCATACAGCTAGTATACTTATTCCAATGGATTAAAATTAATTAAAAATGGTTTGACCCCTGTGTATGTGTCTTTCGTGGTCATTTTGGAAGGGAGCTGCATGATAATAAACTTAAAGACGGTTTCCCTATTTGATTTCTAAATACATAATTTTAAACTTTGTCAAGGACAAATCAAAATGTCCTCAAAATAAAATGAAAAATAGTTTTACTAACCACATGCACTGTCATCTTGCTTTCTTATGTTTCTGTCATCCTGGAGGTCTTCTTTTACCTCACTATCTTTTTGCACATCATGAGTACTTTTGTGGTTACTAAAAACTAAAGCTGCAGCATTAGGTCTGCAAGACAGAGAAAAAAAATCTCAAATACTGTCTTAATTAATTTTGGTGATAAATACTAAAATGTCATTCATTTCATGCACAGAATGATATTGGTCATTTACAACAGCATCTTTTTTTTTGTTGCACGAATAAACACGGAAAAAATCTCAAGAAAAAAACATAACTTGTTGGCAAATTAAATTTGTAAAATATATGTATTCTGCACATAAGTAAAGTAAGAAAATAAAACACGTGGCAAAACACATTTTGAAGCTAGCCAAGCCGAGAACTTAATTTTAAGTTGCCCAAAATACCATTAATTTTATAGGTCAAACTTTTGACCTGGAGTTAATTTTGACCCGTAATACAGTAGCTATTATATATGAAGGTGTAAAAATGTTGCTAGTATTTTCAGAATATTAATAATTATTGGTTCTTATCACATTGGATTGTTCATTAACAAAATCAAGGAGATTTCACGCGGTTTTTACATTTCAGCGCATGAAATTAAAGGCCGTGATCAAAGTTAATTTCAATCACTAACAAATCCGAAAAATAAAACAACTCCATTTAAACAATCTGCGCTGATGACAAGCTCAAAGAAAATTTCCCGTGAGAAAGTAAAAGTTAAGCAAAATTTAAAGCCCATTTTCTTCAATCTCTGAGGTTAAACACTATGCTACAGCAAGGTAAAATAGTTTCACACAGGACGGTTTGTCGATAATTTATGCCTAAAATTGCTGCTTTACTGATTTTCATGTTACATGATTCTGGTACCAGAAGATGAGAATTGGCAACATGCAGCACGCGACGCATTTCTTGTTGCACTAGAAACCAGACACGAAAGCTAACTTACTTTTGAGAGTAACACTACGTGCAACCTTATCTGTTAATGAGTGTATTATGCTGTGTACATATTGCACCAAAAAGGACTACTTTTAATTTGTTGTAGCCTGAGAAAACATTTTCACTATGCCATCACTGGTTTCTCCACAAAAAGATGTCTAAAAAAAGAGCACAGAATTTCCACACTGATATGACAATTGTCTCTACTACTACATATTGGTTACAACAAATTTCCTTCCAGCACAACCAATAAGAAGAACTATAGACAGATCAAAGTATTGACCGGTCATCAGCATGGAATTTCTGCAGTTGTTACTTACACATCATATTGAGGTCTATGTCACTTTGTGGGGAAAACAGAAGTGCCACCATGACATGTCTTCTGTTTCATACAAAATGTGTTGTTAAATAACCAAAGGTCAAATAACCTTAAGCATATCAATAAGCACCTGCATGAACATGGAGATTTTTATTACTTTATTTAACAACAACAAAAACAACAACTTTATTGACTTTATCTTCGACGTGAATATTTCAGTATCAAAACAATCAATATAATAACACATGAAACAATGTAAAATAAAAGTTAAGTTTTGAGGGAGACAGGAACAACAACTATATATTGAATATTAATGTATAAAAAAATTACCTGGTTATGTATGGCTTCTACCACTATTGGATGAAAACCTGTGAAAATGCTGTGAAAAATATGTGAAATACCCTGTGACAAGAAAACACCCTGTGAAAAACCCTGTGAATTTTGCACAGCCTAAATTTTGAGAAAATTTCAAAATTTAGGACCCTGTGAAAAAACCTGTGACTAAAATAAGCCTGTGAAAAACCCTGTGAAAAAACCTGTGATCAAAGTTTAAGAAAATTGCCTACAAAACACCTCTGAAAAATCCTGTGAAAAAACCTATGAAAAAATTTTGAGAAAATTGCCTAAGAAACACCTCTGAAAAACCATATGAAAATACCTGTGAACAAAAAATGGTTGAAATCGATATCAGCAATTTGCAAAGATGCACTGAAAAAACCTGTGAATAATGAAGGAACGAACGATATGTGCTTCTATAAATTATTTTACACATATATATGTCTATAAATAAAACACATGCATAATTAAGTAAAATAAAAAGCTGGATGATTTGATGCAAGACATTTGTTTTGCTACTCAGAGTTTCATGCTGCCAAAAGTAACAGTTACAACCAAAGACTGATATAGAAAATAAAGAACTTTTTAATTTACGTTGTTATATTACAGTTTTACAAAACCAAGCAGTTTGTGGTATTTAGGAATATTCAGGTAATTTCAATGCAATTTGCATTTTTCTTATGTTTTTCTGTCCGGTGTTTACACAAATTTCTGTACAGTGTTCCTACCCCCTTACGCTCCCATGTGATTATCAAGTCCCTATGACACAGTCATGTGTAACAAGAATAATTATGCTTTTGGTTTCTTGGGAAAGCAGCAACTACAACAATCAATATAATTTCCAGGCAAAAATTGTACTCAGATAAGAACCCTTTCACTTGTCACTTAAAAAGACTTTTTCTCAGCTAAGAAGGACTTTACAGAAAACCAATGCTGGCCATATATCAGCCGCATGCTAATAGTGCAATTTAATGACATATGTGATATCTTCCACTTCCACAAAATGATGTTTAAGTTTGAGCATTTTTGGACCTAAATGTTGAAACCTAGTTGAGAAAGTGTTGAAAGAAATCTAAATGTTGTTAAATTTCATTCGACATTGTGTCAACATCTTTGTTCTCAAGGATGTTTGTGTTAAAGCATGACGAGTTATCTCTGTTCTCACCATTTGGTTTAATGCTGGATCATGTTAAACAAGTATAATTATTGTTCTAAATGAGAAAGGCACATTAAATATTTCTCATTTATTATTTACCAGGATAATTAAATGAACACCATGACATTGCAAAGGTGACCAAATGTTAAAACCAGCACTGAATTTAACAAAATGGTAAATGCTTATCTTGCAAGCATCAAGTTATGGATGCTTGTGGTTGGTTGCTAAGCACTAATGAAGCATAAGATCAGAGTTGCTTGATGTGATAGCCAAGAGCAATTCAGGTCTAAAACTGAGTCACTGACAATGTACATTGTAAAATCTTCTTGGTTGTTTGCACAATATGCTACATCATATATCACATCAGCAGCCATGTGCATTCAAATAATTATGTAGTAGGCTGTGTCATAAAAATCAGCCTTGCATTGGATGTGAGCCCATGACCCTCGGCGATGTGTTTTTGTTAGTTCATGAATAAATAAACTTGTCAGTGATGAATAAATGAAAGTGATAATTTGAAAATCATATATTTTAACTAAATAAGCATTTGGTGTAAAGGAAACCTGCTTTGAAGTTGTGAACATAACTGCAATAATCTTTTACTAAATGGCCAGTAAGGGGAGATGGACTGACTTGTGTGACACTTTTTTTGGAAATAGAACATGTTTAGCTAATACTTGTTCTACCATCGTAGCGAGCGACACCATGACCATGTCAGTCTGAGAGGGGAAATGGATTTCAGACAGATTCTTGCCCAGAACAAAATTGAATAAAGCAAATGATCAAGGGGAAAATTTGGCTTCAAGTAGTAGTAATATACTTTTTGCAAGGAAGGTCAATCATATTCAGTGATAAATGATGTACTAGTTCGTATTTTTGGTCATTGAAAGGATAGTTTTGGTCAAGCTGTTAAAAAAAGGCCAAACCTAGAGCTAGTTAAAATAATGGAGCCATGAAATGTTGTTAATTATATATCTGTTTATTGTTCATTCAAAGTATTTGTCTATTTCTGATAATCAGAAATTAGCCAATTTGGCTAAAATCTCCCAGATAATTCTCCATGACCAACTACCATTGACCAGTTTAGGAAGACATAATGCTAATATCAGTACAGTTTCCCATATTGTACTGATAATCAAGGAAAAGGGACAGCAGGAGCACAGTATTTCAACTGCTTTGGTGGAGATTCAGTCTTAAGTGTTATGAACAAAAAATAACTTCAGTTGTGATGTACAGCCCCAGTAACTCAAACTCTGAAGGGAAATGAACAACTGTTTGAGTTAGTGAGGAATTTGAGTTATCAGGGTAAACTTCATTGAAATTTAGAAAGCTAAGGGAAGGGACATTTAGTTTGAGTTACTGGGGAATTCGAGTTATCTGAGGTTTTATTGTAAACTACTGCCTAAAGCAAGTAGGAATCAAGGATGACAACTGCTATTTGAAGAATATCTGTTATCAAAACTAAACATCCACTGCCAAAGAACATGCAAATACATGTATTATGAACATTGAGGCAGCAACTTACATGAGTTTTTAACTTGGAAATAATTTTGAATGAATAATAATTGTTTTAAAAACAATCATTATGCAGCTATCAAGGGGGCTCGATCCACATAATTCTTCGCAAAATAGTGACTCCAAACTGAATGCAAATAGAATACGTGAAACTCAATATAAGTTTCACTCTTAGCTTCGAGAACCAAATTAAAGGTGCTAAGAAAAAATGAGACAGGAAAGGAGTTTATTTTCATCATATTCAATTTATCAAAGTGAGGTTGTGCATTTCTAAATGAAATTCATGTCAAAATAGAAAGGAGAGTTTTTGATCACAAGAATAACAACTTAAAGAATCAAATAACTTAAAAGAAGGAAGCATCTTAGTCAGAGAAAAACAAAACTTAAGCTTACTATAAAAGTTCAAATTTATATGCTTATCTGTTTTCCCTAATTCAAGTAGCTAAATGTCCAGCCCGCTGTAAGAGTAAGTTCATTCACTGGATGACCCTATCATAAGCAGCATCTTCAAGCAAGTCTGTCCACCCTAATTGAAGAACTGGTAAAGAATGACGAGAATTTATTAGATTTAAATGTGTGATAAATTTGTACAGGAAAAGGGAAAAGCTTTCAGATATGGAATTAATAAAGCGGCATCCGCTCAAGATTCGTTCATGCATTAAAATGCATTAAAGCTTAAATCAAAGAAAGCAAGAAAAATTGTGATGTGTTATTAAAATGACCAAAACTACAGCCGTAAGTACTCACCTTAAAGAACTTTTCTTCTTCCATTCGGCATATCATTGAGCTTCTGCTTCTGTATAACAACAGGTAAAAATATCATAAACGGA